TGAGCTCTGTATACACATTATCCTAGGTAATGCAATAACTTTGCTCAAGGTACTATAGCTAATGGGTGGTGGATTCAAGTCCACCAAGTCCAGGTGTGCTTACCTTCAAAGCTCACACTTAGAATCACTGCCAGGTCCTCCCAGTCATGATGACCCCAGGCTGGGCCCAGGGGCAAGTCTAGCTCTTTTCAACCCCAACCAGGATTGAGACAGGCTGGACATCCTACTAAACTAGTAGCCAACACCTAGTTCTAAATAGAATAGTTGAAAGCTACCCTAGATCCCCAGGTGATTCTTATAAGTATGTGGGGATCTTGTTAAAATGTAGGTTCTCATTCTGGGTAGAAAAGCATGTTCTCAGCAGGGAGCAAACCAAAATGAACCAGTCAAAGCCTTGCCTAGATGCTAAGCCCCACCCCCCACCCCCATGCCAGGTACTTTATGTTGCCTCAGTGAATCCTCCAACAGCCCTGATAGGTTGCAAGGGTTATTATGCCCATTTGTTCACATGAAGGCACAGAGGGTCAAGAGGTTAAGTACTCATGATCAGGGCATGTGGTCAGTGTATGGCAGAGCTGGGGTTCCAACCCACATAATCTAGCCCTCAAGTCCGTGTTCTATGGATTTCACTGTGCTGCCCACAGACCCCCAAACCACAGATGATGACACGGGAATGGTCTCTACCCCAGAACACTGGTCTCAGAGCATGTCCTGTGCAGCATCAGCACCAACTGCATGTTTGTTAGAATCCCAGGCCTTGGCCTTAGCCTTTGGATTGGAAATCTGAATTTTATCAAACTCTCCAGGTGGTTTCAGGCACATGAAAGTTTGAGACGCCCTGCTATCGATCATGTGGTTCTTCACTCCAGTTCTCCAAGGAGCCTGAGACCAAGAAGCAAGGCCAGGAAGTGAAGGGTAGGGATTAAGGGCTACAAAGAACCAGGAGCTGGAAGCCAGACCCTGAAGGGGAGCTGGGAGTGAGGTCCCCAAATTATGCCCTTCCTTTTAAGCTATCTCAATGCTTTGTAGTCATCCAGGTAACAGACCTCAACAGGTGTGAGTCGGTGCACATGTTCTCACTGGGTCAGGTGACCCGTGTGCTCAACTAGAGCCCCTCCACAGGGATGATAGGGTCTCACAGGCCAGCCCAACTTTAGCTTGGACCCTGAGGCATGGGAGAATCCCTAGGCCCTCCAGAAAGGAGTTAAAACAGAACAAGTTGTATTCTAGTTCCAATAATTTCACTCCCTGATAGGTTTCCCTGGGGTCCTTCTTAAATGAATCCCAGGGAGCGAGAGCTAGGGACTGGGAGCAGATTTGGTGTTTCCTTTTGCTGGTGATAGACCTCCATGGGCAGCGAAGCTTACATTTAACAGGGGGTGTCAGTGAGTCAAGAGTAAAGTACAGGGTCCTGTGATTGAGTGCCTCTGATGTGCGAGACAGCCAGGAAGGAGTGTGTCCATCCTCACAGCCACCTTAACGTGGTAGGATTATGTGCACACTTCACAGATGAGGACTGAACCACTGAGAGTTAAACTGTCTACATTCTCGTCATTAACAAGAGTCTCAATTTTCAGCACCAAACTCCATGCATGCAGAACTACACATAGTAGAGAATGTACAAGTCTTGGAAGTACTATTAGGACTCTGAACCACTCCAACCTTGTAGTGTGTGGTTTAGCCCAGATCAAGCCACCTTTCCTGGACTGTGTTTGAGTCCACTGGGGTGGGAACTCCAGGGCCCCTGCAGGCCCCACACACATACCTGGGCCCCCCATCTACCTCACTGGGTGGATTGTATATCCGTGGGGGTGTCTGAATGCCCCCCACCAGTCCCTATGAAACAGGCAGGGACCCAGAGGGCTGCTAACACCTTTTCAGAAAGGCATATTCCTGTGCCACACAACATCTGCAGTGCCGGCGGGCACACGGGCAGGGAATTACTACAAAAGGAGGAAACCCAGGCAGCTAATCAGCTTTGGAGGTTTCTAGGGGCATCAGCCTGTGAGGTGAGAAAAGGGACTCCAGTCCCACGGTTGCTCATCATCCAAGCATTTCCCCATGGCCTCATGGAGGTAGGCGAGAGGCCACGTCCTAGGAGGCAAACCCCCCAGCTGTCCCCAGGATTAACTAGGCCTGTCCCACCCACCAGCCCCTCCCTCAGCCAATGTCCATAGCTCATCCTCCCCCCACCTCAATTTCTTATACTATTAGTTTAAGGGAAAGCATTGCCACTTATATAAAAGTATGTTTACAACGAGCTATTTATAAGCACCCGGGGGTTTATTTCCCAGGATTCTAGGTGGAGAGCTCAGCAAGGACCTCCCATCCTTCATAGGTCAGGCAGGGCATGAGGAGCTTCTTTGGAGAAGTTTTATTTTTCCTATCTGCAAATCATCCTTGGGTGCTCGCCCTTCATCCACACTTCTCTTCCTCACACCCAGCCATCTGCTACAAGGCAGCCCCAGCTTTCCACTAAAGCACTGGGGGGGCTGGGAGCTGAGGGATGGCTGAGCCTGAAGAGATTTGGTCTCAAAGTCCAGGGCTGCCTCCCAGTGAGCTCCATATGGGGGCCTGGAGCCGCCTTCCTTAGAACAAAGGGGCAACTTAAGCCCATGGAGAGGACTCCTGCCTCAGAACATTCATCACTCCCCAGCCTTTCAGAGCAACTGTGCAAATGCCCTCAGAGCCAGGAAGAAACTCATCAGTGAACAGACAGGAATGATGCAGTGTGCCACGGGAGTTAAGCAGGAGAGTGTGGGGTTCACATTGCCCAGACTGCAGTCCTGGCTCCTCTGCTTATCAAAATGCCATTTGTAGTTGTTGTTAAGTCCCATCGAGTCGGTTCTGACACATAGCGACCCTGTATAGGGTTTCCGAGGAGCGGCTGGGAAGCTTGAACCACTGATCTTGCAGTTCAAAGGGCTTTGCAGTCTGGCGCATTAACCCACAGCGCCACACCAGGACTCCCCCATTAAATCTCAGTTTTCTCATCTGTGAAAAGGGGGTGGAGGAGCCCTGGTGTGTGACAGCTTAGCTCTCAGCAGCCAATTAAAAGGTTGGAAGCTCCTTGGGAGATAGGTCTGGTGATCTGCTCCCATAAAAATGACAGCCTAGCAAACCCCTATGGGCAGTTCTACTTTGTCACATGAGGTCACTCAGAGTCAAAACTCAACTCCACAGCACCTAACAACAACAAAACTACCCACCTCCCAGTGTTAGAGTAACAACTAAATGAGATACTTTGAGGAAAGTCCTCAGGCAGGGTGCCCAGCGTGCAGTAAATGCTTAATAAGTGTTAGCTAGAATTATTACCAACAAAACAGTCTCAAGGTAGCCTCGTTACACTCTCCACTCACTCCAGGAGTATAGAAATATGGACTGAAAGATATTTTCTACTTGCTAAAACTTTTGCCCATTCTCAAAGGCATCATCCTCAACCACGTTCCTTCACCATCCCCAGCCTGCCACCTCCCCAGGACACACAGCTAAGTTTGATTTATGCAGCACACACCTGTGAGTGCACAGATTTAAAAACAACAGAATTTGTTCAGAGCAGAGCAGTAAAGCAGAGCCATCATTTTCGTTCCCATAGGCACAGTGGTCCATCAGTGCACACAAAGCACACTTCTAGAGCTGAAACACTTTGCTTGGCCTTTTCTCTTCCATTAAAAAAACCCTCCACATCAGTATGAAGGTAAGTGAGAGATGTCATCAGTAAGAGAGACTCCAAATTATTCTACTATACTTATTTTTGAAAGAAAATTGTTGACAAGCTACAGAAGTTCGTTGTTGTTGTTGTTGTTAGTTGCTGGGATATGTTAAAAGAAAAACAACAACAGTTGCTAATTGAATTGATTTATACTCATGTGGCAACCCAATGTGTGTGAGAGTAGAACTTGCTCCAAAGGGTTTTCAATGGCTGATTTTTTGGAAGTAGATCACCAGGTCTTTCTTCCAAGGCACCTCTGAGTGAATTCAAACCTCCAACCTCCCAGTTAACAGCCAAGCACATTAACTGTTTGCACCACCAAGAGACTTCATTACTAGTATGTTGTAGTTGTTGTTAAGTGCCGTGGAGTCATTTCCGACTCATAGTGACCTTGTGTAGGGTTTCTGAGGAGTGGCTGGGAGTTTGAACAGCTGACCTTGCGGTCCAGTGCTCATCCTACAGCACCAAGGTCTCATGGTATGCAAGGATTACATTTGAAAGCCAGCACATAAAGTAAAAATTACAATGTGCCAAAATTACCTTTCAAAGATGTCTTAAATCACCTACAAGTATGACAATTGTTTATCCTTATACACAAGAACCTCACTCAATGGGCTAGGATGCTGACGATATGACAGACACATAGAAACCAAGATACTGTGACCTGGAGTTGGGTAAAGCCTGCCACCATCTTTCTCTCCCTTTACTGCCTCCCACCCCACCTCCACCCCCACCCCATCCCAGGAGTCTTTAGCTACATTCTTGTCAAGACACAATCCAGTTAAATAAGCATATGCCCACAGCTATGCATGCCTCAACTGACCCATGCTTGAAAAATCAGTCCTCTAGAAAGCTGCATAAAATGGGACTGCTCCTCCTGTCCCCATGTCCTAAGGGTCTCAATCGACCCTGGATCAATTTACATGGTCTGGCTTACACGCAGGGAAAACAAGGGATGTCCACTTACTTGCAGCCTGGATGCGAGCCTTCCGGCCGATTACCAAGCCAAAGCGGTTCTGAGCCACACACTCGTAGTCACCCTCATCTGAAGGGCTGCCTCCCCGGTCTAGCCGGAAGTGGCGGATCATCAAGGACCCATTGGCCAGCACCATGGAGTGGGTGCTCTCAGACAGCTCCACTCCATTCTTCCTCCAGGTGATTTGCACTGGAGGAGTCCCCTCTACTCTGCAGTCCAATACCACAGGCTGCCCGGGGACTGCAACATCATCACTTGGCTCCACAGCAAAGGCCAGTTCAGCAGAGTGGCCAAGACCTGTGTTGGGGCATGGGAGATGGGAGGAAAAGGAGATGTTAGTGTGAAATGAGCAGCCAGGAAGAACTCTACATACTGGGGCTCCAAGTTCTCTGGACCACTGTACCCATCCCCATTTTTCTTTTTAAAATCTTTTTATTGTGAATTGGATGAAGGTTTCCATCCCCTTCTTTCTGTGATGTTAATAAAAGAGCCAGTTGCCGGTCCAGTAGAGGTCAACTCACGGCAGCCCATGTGTATCAGAGCAGAACTGTGCTCGATAGGCGTTTCAATGGTTGATTTTTTGGAAGTAGATTGTCAAGGTCTTTATTCCAAGGAGCCTCTGGGTGGGCTCAAACCTCCAACCTTTTGATGAGCAACTGAGCATATTAAACTATTTGTGCCACCCTGGGACTCCAAATGTTAACAGGAATTCCTATTATATGGAGAATTTTATATAGTCCTGGTGTGGCGCTATTGGATCAGCACTGTACTGCTAACCACAAGGTCAGCAGTTCAAACTCACCAGCTGCTCTTTGGGAACCCTATACAGGACCTCTATAAGTCAGAACTGACTTGATGGCACTTAACAGCCACAACATAGAACTTTATGCAATGCAAGGTTCTCTCCCATGCAGTATTTCATTTATTCATCAGCCCATCTCAGAGAGAGAAACAGATGTTATTTTTCCCTTTGCAGACAAGGAAATGGGAGCCTAGAGATGTTAAATCGCTTGCTCAATGTCTCCCAGTTAGTAGTTGCACATTTGAGATTCCAAAGCAAGACTGATATAAAGACAGCTGTCACCATTTCTGTGCTCGCATTGGTTAGGCATTGGTCTCAGAGCCTTTCAGGATGTGACCTCATGTAAAGTATTCAACTTGTCCTGGCTTCCCATTCCTCTGGAGCAATGACCACTTGTGTCACAGCGTTGTTGTACATGGTTAACAGACTGAAAGACACTATGAAAAGTTAAAGGTTTTAAATAAATATAAAGTGAGGTAGTAATGAATTGTTACCTCTTTTTACTGGCAAGATCATCTGAGCCCTGGCCCCTTGCCTGGCAGGGAGCAGGTTTCATGGGCCCCCCAGGACCCAAGGCACCATAGGCTAGACTTCAGCCCACTGGCCCTCCCTAGGCAAGAGGAGGTTGGTTCTTTTGCTTTTGTCATTTAGAGAGGAGGTATATCAAAGCCTAACTCAGAGTTGCCCAAAACTCAGGAAAAATGGAGGTTTCTAGAACCTTTACTCTCAGCGACCTCATCTCTCCTGAAGAGAAGAGAGCTGGAAGAGGAAGTGGAGGGGAAGTGAGTAGCCAGCAAACAGGAAGAGAGTGACCAGGGGCACGCCAGTCCCAGGCATGATGCCAAGTCTCAGTCTTCTCCAGCAACTTACCAGACCAGTTACAACTTCACGCCTGGAGGAATGAGCCCTTCTGCCTGAAGGGGCAGCAACAGACCCCTGTCCACATTGAGAACAAATAAGCGATCCCCCGGGCGGGCCCCTCCCCAACAGACCAGCGCCCTCCGGTGGCAGAGAGAGCAAGGGAAATGGACATGGAGAAAGACGGACTGGGGGTTATGGCGCAAGCCTGTCCAGCGTGGTTGGAAGAGGGGTGTGCTTTGAGAAAGTAAAACAAACATTGGAGTGTTTACACACTCTAGATATTTCTTCAGAAAGATTCCACTTGAGGCTGGTAGATCCAAACTGCCAACCTTTTGGTTAGTAGTTCGTGACCACTGCGCTCCCAGGGTACACCTTTTATAATCTCTACCTATTTCTCCACACCCTGTGTTTAAGCCGCCTCAGCCTCCAACCCAGCCCTGGCATAGCTACTGGCAGATAAAGTTTCTCTTTGGTGCTGGTGTGATATCAGAGGAAATCTGGCCCAGGTGAGGGTCGCCTGAGAACTTGGGATGGGAGTGGGGAAACCTAGAGTGGCGCGTGCGCGCGCGCGCGCGAACACACACTCACACACTCCATAAAATGAGACTTGTATAACCACTGAAATAACACGGGTAGAGATGCTGGAGGTCTAGGCGCGGCGAGCCCGGGGCAGGATGCACCGCATTTGCTCTCCTGGGCAGGGCGGGGACATGTGGGCAATTCCGCGGCTTCAGGTTTTTGGTCGGCTTCTTCTGCTTGCGTATTGTACCCCCGGTCGCACCCTCCCCACGCACTGCCAGCCCAGAATCTTCCTCCTCCTCTTCCTCGGTGTCTCCAGCGCACTGCCAGTCCAAATCTCCTGTCTCCTCTCAGCGCAGCTGGCTCAGGTTTCCCGTCCCTCTGGATCTCGGTCTCCGCCTCCCCCTCCTGCCTCAGTAGTCTCAGGCTACTCGGTGTCCGCCCCCAGGCTTCGTGCATCCCTGCTCGCTGCCCTCCGACGGGGTTCAGCCCTGGATCTCCGTTGGCTCGGTATCCCCTTCTCCCCAGAGCCCTCCCGCTCCACTAACCCCGGCTTTACGGCGATCCTAGTAGCCCTTCTGTCCGGCCTCCGGGTCTTGTCCTGAGTTCTGGCGCTGCAGCGAACTGAGCACCATCACTCTCTGGGTTAGGGGTCTGTTTTCCCAAGCACCCACCCTCGCCTCTAGCATCTGTGCCCTCTCCCCGAGCTCTGCTCCGTCCCGCTGGACTCCTGAAACCGGACAAGTCCTTCAGCCCGGGATCGCCGTCCCTCGCGCCCGCGAACTCCCTCCTCGCTTTGCCCGGGCTGCGGGCGCTATCGCTCACCAAGGCTCGGTGCGGGCAGCAGCAGTGGCAGCAGCAGCGGCAGTAGGATCCGGGACCAGCGCGGCGCGGGAGGGCGGCGCGGGGGCGCGACGCGCGGTGCAGCCATGGGGTTCTCGGTCAGCTCCTCTTGGTGCCTCTCGGCTCCGGGGCCTCTCGCGGCTCACAGCGTCCCGCCCGTGGCCGGGGCTCGGGCCGAGGCCGAGCCCGGGCGGCGGGGGGCTGAGGTCGCATGCCTGCCTAGGAGCTCCGGGGGCGCAGGGGGAGCGCTGCTTGCGCCATCTTGCACCCACACCGGCGATCTGTCAGCCTCGCCCGAGGTGCGCTCTCCGCACTTGCACCGCCTGCCGCTGCCCCGCCCTCCTCCCTCCGCCCGCCGTCCCCCTTCCCTTCCCTTCCCTTCCCTCCCCGCCCGGCCCCCTCCCCCAACCCCTCTCCCCGGAGGCCCGGTCTGGGGAACAAAAGAGCCGGCGAGCGCTTTAAGCGGCCGGACATTCCCGGCTGCGTGGCTGACGCGTACCCTACGCTTTGAACTGCGGCTGGAGCTGCCCGTGCGGTCCGGGACCTCAACCCCGTACTATTGGCCAGCCTCAGACTTAGGGCGCTGAGGAAATGGGGACCAAGTGGACTGTGGAGTGGGTTTGGGCTGAGAAAAATGTAAAGCTGCCAAATCTGCTCGAACCCACGCTTCCTGCTGAACCTCCCTTCACCACCACCAAGTCTGTATTTTACAGACAATTCCCTAAACGCTGGAATAAGTTGTCAAGCGTCCCCTAGGCTTCTGGTACTTCCGCTTAAATGATAGGATGTTAAACGGCAAGACTGGCCTCACTAGACTGAGGAGTCCTGGCGTTTGGGTGGAAGGAGGGTGACGGACGAGAGGCAGGTTCTTCTACCGTCTGAGAGAACAGACCCATCAAGACGATGAGAGCTCTAAAGTGACCTGGGTTCCGATCCGGGTTCTGCCTGCTGGCTAGCCCAACTAACATAAGCAGTCGCTCTTTGTGCTCATTTGAAAGATGAGGATAATCATATCTCTCCTACGGACCCCTGTTGTTGTTAAGAGTCGGTTCCGACTCATAGGGTTTCCTAGGAGCCTCTGGTTGGTTGGTTTGAACGGCCGACCTTTCTTTTCAAACCAACCTTACAGTCCAGTGCTTAACCTACAGCGCCACAGCAGGATTCTACTTGTTAAGTGCTGTCGAATCCGTTGTGATTCACAGCGACCCTGTATAGGGTTTCCAAGAAGCAGCTGGTGAGCTTGAACCACCAGCCTTGCAAACTGACTTTGCAGTCCAGCGCATTAACCCACAGTGCCACCACACCAGGGCTCCACTTGTTGTTGTTAAGTGCTGTCGAGGTGGTTCCGACCCATACCGATTCTGTATAGGGTTTCCAAGGAGCAGCGGGTGAGCTTGAACCGCCAACCTTGCAGTTCAAACGGCTTGCAGTCTGGCGCATTGACCCACAGCGCCACACCAGGACTCCTCTAGAGACCTATAAATGAGACAGGCTTGGACAAACGACGTGGTAACCAGAAATGCACATTAAGTTAAAATTCCCTGTCATATTTCTATACCACAAATAGGTCTCAATGTTTATGTTTGTTGTTGTTATGTGCCGTGGAGTCGATTCCGACTCATAGTGACCCTATACAGGGTTTCCGAGGCTGTAAATCTTTACGGGAGCAGAACGCCTCATCTTTCTCCCGCGGAAAAGCTGGTAGTTTCGAACTGCTGACCCTGAGGTTCACAGCCCGATTCGTAACCACTACGCTACCAGAGCTCCTTTATGTTAGAGAATATATAAAGAGACAATACAGGTCCCACATAAGACTGTTATAGAAGTTAAGCATGCCTCCTAGGAAAACAGCATACACTCAGAAATTGTGAATTTTAGCAAACCAAAAAACCCCAAACCTTTTGCCCTTGAGTCCATTCTGACTCATAGTGTTCCTATGTTGTTGTTAAGTGCCCGTTGAGTCGGTTCCGACCCACGGCTCTCCTGTATAAGATTTCCAAGGAGCAACTGGTGAGCTTGAACCACCAACCATGCAGTTCAAATGGCTTTGCAGTCTGGCGCATTAACCCACAGCGCACACTAGGACTCCAGTGTTAGAGAATAACTGCCTATACGGGGTTCCCCAGGCTGTAAATCTTGATGGAAGCAGACTGCCACATCTTTCTCCCGTGGAAGGATGCGTAGATTTGAACTACAGGCCTCTGTGCCACCAGGGCTCCTTGAATCTTGGCAATTATTAATGATACTCAGTTGAGTCTGAATATGATGGGCCAATCCATCAAAATCATTAAGCAGCTACTAAATTCTAGAAGCTGGAGATTTAAAGATGGCAGTCTCTGTCTCACTTAGCTATTCTCTCCTTTGGGATTGAATTGGGAAAATAAAGGAATGGCTACATCCCTCTTTTCATCCCAAGTCTGGAACTTTGGGACCAGGAATACTAACCCTATGTAAGGAGCACTAATGACACAAACTATTAAACACTCAGCTGTTAACGAAGCATTTAATGGTTGGTGGTTTGAACTCACCCACCCACAGACTCCTTGGGAGAAAAGAGCGAACAATCTGCTTTAGTACAGACAACAACCTAGGAAACCCTATGGGGGCAGTTCTACTCTGTCACAAGGGTCACCAAGAGTCAGAATCAACTATAGGGCATCTAACAAAAACAAGACTAACTTTGCCAAGGAGTCAATAAAGTGCAGATCTCCAGAAATCAGATCACCAATAGGTGGAGAAGTTTACTAATGATGAGGTTTGCATAGCCTTGGGACTCCCTTATTCTGCAGTTGTTGTTATTAAGTGCCATTGAGTCACTTTCAACTCAGAGCAACCCTGTAAAGAGGGTTTTCAAGGACAAAGCAACCTTATGGTTCAAACCAACCTTGGGGTTCAGTGCTTTACCCACAGCACCACACCAGGATTTCTGCAGTAGCTGTTGGTATATGAACCTGAGAAGCATGTGAGTTGTGGGAGGCAATGGAGAAATTCAGAGCCAAAGCTCCCAATGGATTTCATTATAAGGAAGGGCAGGAATCATGGGTCTCTATTGGCCATCATAAGAGGGAGGGAAGAGGTGCCCTCTCTGGACCAAAAGCTCTGAGACTTCCTCCTGTAGATCCTGCTGAATTCCCAACATCCTCTTCTTGGTTCGTCCTTTTGTTGTTGTTGTTCTTGTTAGGTGTCTTCATGTCAGTTCTGATTCATGTTGTTGTTGTTAGGTGCCATCGAGTCGGTACCGATTCACAGCGACCCTATGCACAACAGAACGAAGTATTTCCTGGTCCTGAGCCAACCTCACAATTGTTGCCATGCTTGAGCCCATTGATGCTGCCACTTTGCCAATCCATCTCGCTGGGGTTTTTTCTCTGACCCTCCACCTTACCAAACATGATATCCTTCTCCAGCGATTGGTCCCTTCTGACAATGTGTCCGAAGTATGAGAGACGAAGTTTGGCCATCCTGGCCTCCAAGGAGCACTCTGGCTGCACTTCTTCCAACATGGATCTGTTGGTTCTTTTGGCAGCCCATGGCACTTTCAATATTCTCCTCCCACACCATAACTCAAAAGCATCAATTCTTCTACGGTCTTCCTTATTCACTGTTCAGCTTTTGCATGCATATGAAGTTGTTGAAAATACCATGGCTTGGGTGAGGCTCATCTTAGTCCTCAAGCTGACATCTTTGCTCTTCAACACTTTAAAAAGGTCTTGTGTAGCAGATTTGCCCAATGCAATATGTCATCTGATTTCTTGACTGCTGCTTTCATGAATGTTGATAGTTGATCCAAGAAGAACGAAGCAACCCTATTATAGGGTTTTGGAGGAGCAGCTGGTGAATTTGAACTGCTGACCTTGCAATTCAAACCAATCTTTGGGTCCAGCGCATAATCCCACAGCGCCACACAGGGGTCAAAATGACAGGGTCCTGAGTTACTGTCATTCAAAATTCATTTGACAAATGTTTGAATTCTTTTTGATCACAACCCTTGGTCTAAGAATGATTAAAAAAATAACGGCTGTTCTGTCACATGCAAAATGTGCAGTTTCTCCCTGTATGATATGTCAATTAACTTGGCGTCTGACCCATCAGCCATTCTAGGGGTGGTCCCAGGTGGAGTATTCTCTGGCTCTGTTCTCCCCAGGAGAAAAGGGTGTTCTGGCCCTGTGAAGAGTCTATCAGAGAGGAGCAGCTGCCAACCACGTTCCTGAGATGTGGGTGGTATGTGAACATGGTCTTTTGTGTGGAGGTATGTATTTGAGTGTTTGTGAGGATGAGTGTATGCATGTATGTCTCTGAGTTTGTGGGTGAGCTCTCCATGCATATACATATCTAGCCCTGAGCAATTTGGGGACCAGAATGATCTAAAAGAATGGTTTTGGAGTCCAAGTCTCTAGAGTTGTTCACTCCTCCCTTGTCCCCAAGAAAGTTCAGGAAAATGTGATGGAGGGGATCTCTAGACAGCCTAAAAGAGTGCCATCAAAGCATTCATTTTCCCTAAATTTGTTTTCTTCCTAAGTGCCTGCTGAGAGAGAAAGAAGTTTCATTTCTTTCTCAATTCTAAAAGAGGATCCAGTATTTCTGGAAAATAGTTTATTAATTCATTATAGGGACAGATACATGATCAATGCCTTGGCTTAACACTAAAGAATATCATATTTGTAAGGAGAGAAAAAAAAAAAATGCTGGAGAAATAATTAAATAATACCACATAAACTATATAGACAAATAAATGAGCAGATATACCGATTACATTTGTCATGCATCAAGAAGGTTTTTAAATGAAACTTAAAAAAAAAAAAAAATTAAGGCATCAGTGAAAGGCGACAAAGAGATTGTTAGCCTGTAAAAGGCCAATAGGCTTGATCCTAATAAAGATACTGCTACTGAGACACAATGCTAACACTTCCAAAGTTACCCGGAGCTTACATCATGTATAATGCTAGTGAGTAATGCCACTGTCTTACCAAGTGGGGGTTGCAGGCAGATACCAGTTACTTGTGAGAAACAATTTCCCACTCAACCTAAAGTAAAAGCAAACCCATTGCTATCGAGTCCATTCTGAACCATAGGACATCGTGGAGCTAACTGCCCTAGAGTTTCCAAGGCTGTCAATCTTTACAGAAGCAGACTGCCACATCTTTCTCTCTGAAGAGCAGCTGGTGGGTTCGAACTGCAGGCCTTTAGGTTAGCAGTCAAGCCCCCTTTTCCATGGGGTCACCAGAGCTCCAAGTCCAACCTAATGGGTTATAAATTGTCTCATTTGCAGCTATTCGATTTAAACCAGAACCTCTGGTGCCTGTTAAACAAGAACATGAAAAATGACTATGTAGTGTAATGTTAAGAGCCTACTGTTAAAACAGCCATTTAACTCAGGGCAGCTCTTTTTGTCCCTTTAAAAAAAAAAAAAAAATCAAACCAGCAAAATAAAATGAGGCTTTTGACCTTCAAAGCGATGATGAAACATACACAGCGGTGTTAGGCACAGCAACGCTGAATGCTACAGAAATAGTACAAGTGAGAACCCTGCCCTTAATGAGATACAAAACCAACATGAGTAATCTTTAGTGTTATCATAGGCTGGCTGAAGGAGGGGGCGGAGGAGGAAATGTAGGTGGGGATGTCAAACATGAGTGACATCCGAGTGTAATAAACACAGATGCTTTTAGGGTCTGAGGAAGCTGCAACTCTGCTGAGAGACAGTTCACCATTTAAAAAAAACGGGTGGGGGGGGGGGGGGGGAAGATAGACTGGTTATTTCCAATTTGGTCCAGAAGCCAGAGTTAACCCTTGATGTGCTGATCAGTTTAAAAGATGCAACCAGAGAGATCAGACCACACATTCTATGATCCTATGAGGGAGCTGATAACAACAGAAAATATCAAATCAATGGCATTGGTTTCTCCACATTAAGACCTAGAAGTCAAGTTGTCCCTGTGTGGCAAGTCAATAGAAAATGACTTCAGGATTGAATTTAAAGAGAAAAATGAAACAAAAGGAGGCAATCACCCTTGCCCTGTGCAAAGATCTCCCTTCCAGCACCCAGGGTGGGGTTACAGAGAGTGAATGTGATGCAGATTCATGAGGTTCCTCTTACCCATGCAGCTCACCCCAAATCAATTCATGATCAGGGCAAAAGAATAGGAAAGTGCTTTCCTAACTCCAACCTCTCTTCTCTCTGCCTTTAGCTGGAAAGAAAGTTCCCAAACCACTGCCACCCAGCAATCCCACCTCCCTGCAAAGAATGTTGTTATTGTTAAGTGCCGTCCAGTCGGTTCCGACCCATAGCGGTCCTGAACAGGGTTTCCAAGGCTGTAAATTTTTCTCCCACAGAGCAGCTGGTAGTTTCGAACTGCTGACCTTGTGGTTCGCAGCCCGATTCGTAACCACTACACTATGATGGAGGAAGTAATTTTATCCTAAGCCTAGAGGATGAAGATGGGAGTGGCAGGAGGTGGGGTGGGAATCCCATTCCCTTTCCCACTTCAGAAATTCCCTTCAGTGGCCTGAATTCATCACCCCCCAAGAAAATCCTCTTATCCCAAGCCACAGGTGAGAGAGCTGGAAGGTTTTCTCCCCACCGGCCCTGAGGCTGAGGAATCTGTTTGGGAAGAATTGCTTGGGGACAGAAGGGTGTGCAGAGGCACAGAGAGAAGAGGATGGGAAGGACAATGGGTGATGTGAACACAAGAGTCACGTTATGGCCTTGAGCAGACATGAGGTAGTCATGTTGTCAGGGAGGACACACTGGGCCCAGGCAGGAGGGCCAGTCATGCAGTCTAGGAGAGGTGTGACAGACCAAGAGAGAAACAGGCAAGAAAGACAGAGAGACAGAGACAGACAGAGAAAGGCAGGCCTGGGAACACAGAAAACAGAGAAATGGGAGAGGAAAGGAAGGCAGAGCCATGGGGACGGAGGGCACCAGAACTGGGAGAGCCAGGTGACTGGAAAACAGACCAAACAGAGCAGTAAAGGGGAAGCGAGGAAAGAGAGAAAGCGGAGACTCAGACTTGCAGAGTTTCTAAACCAGGCACTTCACACTTTACAAAAGAAAATGCAGCGTTGCTCTGAGGGTAGCCAGGTAACCCTCTCAATTTGGGCAATGGGAGCACAGGAGATGATGCAGTGAAAATGTTTGGCATTTAGAGCCCGAGTGCACTCAGCCCAGTCAGACAGGAAACTGGGCCCGGCTTGTCTTTGTCAGACAGGGCATTAGAGACACTCTCAGAGTGAGTAATAAAAGGCTGGGTGATGGAGGTGGGGACCCACAGGACTGGGACTGACCGCAAAGATCAATTAGGCTAGAGTGAACACTGCTTGGGCCCAGGTTCCCCAGCTCACCAGCCAGCACACACACATGTGCACACCACAGGTAACTGTGTTCCACCATCTCTCACATATCACATATGTGTTGCAAAGACTATGGGAGTAGTATATAATCCATTTCTTCCTCCCCACCCAGCCAAAACATCCTACAAGGCTTGGCTAGCTGATGTTCAGTATCTTCAGATACACATGTGACATGTGTGGCTACTTATGCCATTTCTCATGACCCACATCAGCCTGCTCCAAACTGCAGAGCTAAGCACTGGAGGAGACTGGGGCTCTGGGCAGAGCTGGGCTGGCTGCTAGAGAGCAGGGGGCCTTTGGCTGGTAGCTGTTCCCAGGGGCCTCCTCCAGAGCCTCACTGGATGGGAGGTCTGGGTAGAGACAGGAAGTATTGGCTGCCTCTGGCAAGCAAGTAAGTCTGTCTGACCCAGCGGCTGCTTGCTCACAGCCTCCCAGCTCCTCGTCCAGCCAATCTGCCCCCTGCCTTAGATCCATAACACCTGAGGTGAGGTCAGGAGTGTCCGAAGATAGGACAATGTCAGGTTCCAAGTCTTGGATATGGAGGTCAGGGTTCCCTTTGGACGCACTGAAGTCAGAGTGGACAATGACTTCAGCCTCCACCTGGTTCCTGCACGTTGGGGGTGGTTTCTTTCTTCCGTTGCCCTGGTCAGAGCAGAAAACACAAGACAAAGTGACCGTCACTGATCACTGAAAGTGATCATCCTAACCCAGGCGAGACAGATTATTACAAAGTGGTCAGCTGCCACTTACTCAATTTTTGGAGGCTCTAGGAGTCTCTAGATTAGATTCCTATTCCCCAGGGATAATACCTTCCAGAGATCTCTTGAGAACACACTTCTTCCTCTTTAGAAGAATGGGCTCCCTTCCCTCTTTTGTCCTTCCCCAAACCAAAAAGCCATACAGAGATACTGTAGGACAGAGTACACTGCTCCATAGAGTATGTTGTTGTGTTGTTGTGAAGTGCTGTCAAGTCGATTCTGACCCATAGCGACTCTGTATAGGGTTTCCAAGGAGCAGCTGGTAAGCCTGAACCGCCGACCTTGCAGTTCAAATGCCTTTGCAGTCTGGTGCATTAACCCACAGCACCACACCAGGACTCCCCCATAAAGTATGCAAGATGGTAAATCATTGTGGAAGCAGACAGCCACATCTTTCTCCTGAGTAGCTGAGTGCTTAACCACAGTGTCACTAGGCCTCCGTCCCCACAGGAAACCAATAAAAAACAAAACCCCACCTAGATTAGCTGCCTTTGAGTAGATCCTGACTCATGACAACACCATAGGGGTTGTAGTGCCTTTCTTCTGCAACCCTAGGACACTGACCTTTATGGCATCATACACCAGAGCCTGCAGCAAAAGCGTCTGCCCAGTTCCAGCAGGGGGCAGCAGGGCTCGGGTCAGAGAGGGCATGGGTCCTCCCTGGGGTAGCTCACAGCCTGCCCAGGAGCCTGCCCAGCTCGGCCCACCAGGCTGACCCCAGGAGATCTGTTTGGGGAAAGAAAAGGGAGCACTAAGGGGGTGGGAAACAGGCAGGGAAGTGAACGAGTATAGGGAAGAAGGGGGTCCGTCTCCTAGCTCCCTTGATTCCCCATGCCTGGTCTGTTCCCTGCTAAAGCCTTTCCCCCTGGGCCTGGGGAGGAGCACAGGAGAGTCAGTGGGGTGGGAACTGAACTGTAGAAAAGTTCTCGTGCAGAAAAGCTTGATAGGAGATGATCTGTCACCTCAGGGGCAGGTACAGGGTGAGGGAAGGACTCAGGAGTTTGAGGGTACGATGACCTGGAGGGACCTGCCCCCCAGGAGCTGGGCTCTACCCTGGCTTTGGTTCCTCTAGGCCACAACCAAGTTGCCCAGTCTCTTCTCCCCAGTTGGGGAAGGCTGAGCCTTAGAAGTCTTCCCGGCGCCCACGATGAGGAGAAAGCTAGGGTTTAGCCTATTGAGTCACCTACAATCCACTGGGGGCCCTCCCCTCCGTGAGAACCAGGCTGACCTAGTCTGCCAAGCGATGGAGGCCCATCTGCTTCTTGCCCTGCCAACCCTTTCATGAAGGAGGGAGAGAGCCCCCTCTCTTCGGCAGCTGGCCCAGGAAAGGCCTGGGGGGAAGGGGCTGGGACGTGACTTCTGGCGCAGGGTCACAAGCTGTGCTCTGGTGCCCCCTGGTGTCCTATTTGGGAATGAACCACAGTGGGGGGCTCTAACCTGGCCGGAGCCCCACCCCAGGCTCAGGCTCACCTTTCTCTTGGAGTGACCCCGGCAGTCAGAAACACTGCCACCCATAAGACTGTGCACTTCAGCTCTGTCCTCGATGTCTGAGGGTGGTGGGGACCAGTCCTGAGGACGGGGGTGCACAAGGGACTCCAGTTCATGGGCAGCTGGGGGGCTGGGAGGACCAAGTCTGGCTCGGGAATACAGTGCTGGATTCCCAGTGGCGGCTGTGGAGGACAGGCCCGGAAGGGTTTCCCTGGAAGAAACAGTGGGGAGGAAGGTACAGAGAGGTCAAAGGGTGTGGGGATGGGCCTGGAATCTGGGCAGGCTACTGCACCTCTCTGGGACTTAGTTTCCTTATCTATGCAATGAATAACAAATTCTGTTCTATTCAGCCATTTAACTGCAAACTGGACCCTTTCTCCCTTGGCTCCAGGTATCTGTAGATTGTCCATTCCGACCCATAGGCGACTCTGTACAGGGTTTTCAAAGAGCTCAAACGACTTCGCAGTCTGAGGTATTAGCCCACAGCACCAAATTGGGAACCCTCTTTCCCAGACACTTTCAGAGGGAGAGAGGTGGCTATGTCTGTGCCTGCCCCTGCTGAGGAGTTCACCCCCATCCCTCCACCCCCAGAGTTCTAATGGTAAGGGGGCTCCTGCGGTGCGGGAAAGAAGGCTTGGCTGCGCTACCCCCCACCGCCACCCCCCACTTTCTCCTCTCTGCAGCTCTTCCTGGAAGTCTTGGGGGGTAGGGAGGGGGGAACTGGCTTCCTTGCCCACCTGTGGGGGCTACGGCGCAGGCCAGCACACATGCAAGCCAGGAGGCAGAGGAGGCCCAGGCAGACGCCCACGATGATGCCTGTGACCGAATGCACGTCCAGAGAGTCTGGCAGGGGAGAGAAAGGGGCAGAGCAGTCAAGGACAGGAGACCACACTGAGTCTCACCCTCTGGACACTCAGAGTCTTCTGATGCGTGACTTGATCTCCTTCTTCCAACTGTCCTCTCTGCTGAACATCCAAGAGTTGTGGCCTTCTCCATCAAATTGGCCTCCAGTGATACAAACCCTCTACTGTTCATGAGGCATGTGCAGTTCTAAGAGGCCCCATACTCAGAAAGGCCCCACACTTGGTTTGATGTTCTGCTGTCACCATCTTTGACGTTCTTAATAATACGTTAATCAAGTGACCCTGCCGTTTCATTCTGGACAGGACCCTGCAAAATTATGCCTCCGTCCCATACAGCTGTCACCTCACTAAGCCAATCCTCCAATCAAATCAGTCTCCCAAAGACACTGGCTTCCAAACCAAACCCCTCCACACACACACACACACACACACAAAAAAAAAAAAACACTGACATCAGTCCATTCCAACTCAATGGCCGCTGTGTAGGGCAGAGGAGAACTGCCCCACAGGGGTTCCAAAGCTGTAAATTTTTGTGCAAGCAGGCTGCCTCAATTTACTCCCTCAGAAAAGCTGGTAGGTTCCAAACCAAATCAGTCCCTCAGAGATCTGGCCTCCCCATAAAATCATCATTCACCTATGTCAACTTCCCCCTCAAATTCACCTTCTCCCCATCAAGCCATCACAGCTTCTCAGAACAAGTAATTAAGTTGGGCCTAGAGGCAGGGGCTTAGAAGAGGTGACCTTGGGGATAGGACACATCCAAGTCAACTCCAAGAGCCTCTAGGAACCCAGGATGGACCCCACCCTGCCCTCCTTACCCTCCTACCTGACAACTTCTCTTGGAGAGTGATCACATCCTGCAGGCCGGAGAAGGGCCCAGGCCCCACCTCTGTGCGCGCCCCCATCTTGAAGAAGTACCTAGTGTCGCTTTCTAGGCCATGCACCTCAGCACTGAAGATGTTTCCTGAGGGGAGAGCAGGCTGGTGGATAGGGTGGGGGTGGGATACAGGGATGGACAGGGAAGCAGGACTGAGAAACACTGCTGCTGCCCCCCTCCTGATTTTGCTCCTTCCAGTGGTCCCTAGTGCATGCTCACTGCTAGTCCAGTGGCTGAGGAGGTTGGAAAAGAGGAGAGGATAGAGAAGCTCTTGCTCCAGTGCCTGGGCCCTCACCGTCTGTGGTGACCAGAGTCCACTGGTGTTCGGGCTGGGTGTGGTTGCTGCTGTACAGGATCAGGTACTCCACGATCTCCCCGTTGGGTTCTGTTGGGGGACACCAGTGCAGGCGGACGGTGGATGGTGTCAGGGGGCTCAGGCGCAGGTCTGATGGGGGCGTTGAGGGCCCTGAGGTGCAGAGGTGGAGAGAGAAGAGGCACAGTCACCTAAAACCCTGGCTCCGTGGCAGCTTCCCTTCTTCCCTTTTCATTAGAACAAACCACAAATCCACAAGGATCCAATAAAGATGATTTCTGGAATTTCTGGAAAATATGGGAATAAGGGACTTTACCACGATCCCTCCCTTCTCTGCTCTGCCCAATCCCTGGAGTTTGCTATTGTTGTTGTTGTTAGGTGCCGTCGAGTCGGCACTGACTCAAAATGACCCTATGCCCAACAGGTCCTGCGCCAACCTCACAATTGTTACTATGCTTGAGTCCAGTTCTACTGCCACTATGCCAATCCATCTTGTTGGGGGTCTTCCTCTTTTTCTCCAACCCTCCACTTTACCAAGCATGATGTCCTACTTCAGGGAATGATCCCTCCTGATATTATGTCCGATGTATGAGAGACAATGCATTCTGGCTGTGCTCAGTCAACACAGATTAGTTTGTTCTTTTGGCAATCCATGGCACTTTCAATATTCTCCTTTAACACCATAACTCAAATGCATCAATTCCTCTATGGTCTTCCTTATTCACTGTCCAACATTCGCATGCATATGAGGCTACTGAAAATACCATGGCTTGGGGCAGGCACACCTTAGTCCTCAAACTGATGACATCTTTGCTTTTCAGCACTTTAAAGAGATCTTGTACAGCACTTTGCCTAATGCAATACATCGCTTAATTTCTTGACTGCTGCTTCCATAAGTGTTGATGGTTGATCTGAGCAAAATGAAGTCTTTATGGCAACTCCAATCTTTTCTCCATTTGCATGGATGTTGTCTACTGGTCCAGTTGCGAGGATTTTTGTTTTCTTTACATTAAGATGCAAGCTATGCCAAAGGCTAGGGTCTTTGATCTTCATCGGTAAGTATTTTAAGTCCTCTTAGCTTTCAGCAAGCAAGGATGTATCATCTGCATCTTGCATGTTGTTAATGAATCTTCCGCCAATCTTGATACCACATTTTTCTTTACATAATCCAGCTTCTTAGATTATGTGCTCAGCATACAGATTGAATAAGTATGGTGAAAGAATACAATACTAGGACACACCTTTCCTGATTTTAAACCACTCGGTGTCCCCTTGTTCTGTTTGAATGAATGCCTCTTCTTCTATGTACAGGTTCCTCATGAGCACAATTAGGGGTTCCAAAATACTCATTCTCTGCAATGTTGTCCATAGTTTGTCAAGATCCACACAATCTAAAACCTTTGTGGAGTCAATAAAGCACAGGTAAACATCTTTCTGGTATTCTCTGCTTTCAGCCAAGCTCCATCTGAGGTCAGCAATGATATCCCTCGTTCTACGTCCTCCTGTGAATCCAGTTTGAACCTCTGGCAGTTCCCTGTCAACGTACTGTTGCAGCTGTTTTGAGTTATTTTTAGCAAAATTTTACTTGCATGCAATATTAATGATATTGTCCGATGATTTCTGCATCTGTTGGGTCGTCTCTCTTTGGAGTGGGCACAAATATGGAACTCTTCCAATCAGTTGGCAAATAGCTGTCTTCCAAATTTCTTGACATAGAGGAGTGAGTGCCTCCAGTGCGGCATCAGTTTGTTGAACGATTTCAATTTGTATTTCATCAATTCCCAGAGCCTTGTTCTTCACCAATGCCTTCAGTGTACCCTGGACTTCTTCCTTCAGTATCATTGACTCTTGTTCATATGCTACCTCTTGAAATGGTTGCACATCAACCATTTACTTCTGGTATAGTGACTCTGTATTTCTTCCATCTTCCTTTGGTGCTTCTTGTACCGTTCAATACTTTGCCCAGAGAATCCTTCACTATTGCAAGTCGAGGCTTGGTTTTTTTTCCTTCAGTTCTTTCAGCTTAAGAAGTGATGAGCGTGTTCTTCCGTTTTGGTTTCCTTTTCTAACTCCAGGTCCTTGCACAATTTATTATAATATTTGACTTTTTCTTCTCGAACAGCCCTTTGAAATTTTCTTTTCAGTTCTATTACCTCCTCATTTCTTCCATTATGCTTTAGCATCTCTATGCTGGACAGCAAGTTTTAGAGTCTCTTCTGACATCCAGTTTGGCCTTTTCTTTCTTTCTTTCTTGTCTTCTTAATGACCTTCTTTCTATATGATATTCTCAATGTCATCCCACAACTTTTCTGACTTTTGGTCATTCGTGTTTAACGCATCAATTCTGTTCTTGAGATGATCTCTAAATTCAGGTGGGATATGTTCAAGGTCATCTTTTTGGCTCTTCTGGACTTGTTTTAATTTTCTTCAGCCTGAACGTGCATATGAGCAATTGATGATCTGTTCCCCAGTCTTTCCCTGGCCTTTTTTTGACCGATTATATGGAACTTTTCCATCATGTTTTTCAACAGATTTAGTCAATTTGATTTCTGTGTATTCCATCTGGTGAGGTCCATGTGTATAGTTGTCTTTTATGTTGTTGAAAAAAGGCAGTTGCAATGAAAAAGTCATTGGTCTTGCAAAGTTCTAGCATATGATCTCCAGCACCATTTCTATCACCAAGGCCATATTTATCAACTACTGATCATTCTTCTTTGTTTCCAACCTTGCATTCCAATAATCAGTGATTATCAATATATCTTGATTGCATGTTTGATCAATTTCAGAGAGAAGAAGTTGGTAGCATTCTTCAATTTCATCATCACTGGCCTTAGTGATTGGTGCTTAAAATTTGAATAACAGTTGTATTAACTGGTTTTCCTTGTAGGCATATTGTAATTATCCTATTCTATAGACAGCATTGTCAACAAGCTATGGACAACTTTGCCAAGTATGAGTATTCTGGAACACTTAATTGTGTTCATGAGGAATCTGTACCTGGACCAAGAGGCAGTTGTTTGAACAGAACATGGGACCATTGAATGGTTTAAAATTAAGAAAGGTGTGCAACAGGGGTGTATTCTTTCATTATACTTATTTAACCTGTATGCTGAGCAAATCATCCAAGAAGCTGGGTTATATGAAGAAAAACATGGCATCAGGATTGGAGGAAGACTCATTAACAACCTGCCATATGCAGATGATACAACCTTGCTTGCTGAAAGTGAAAAGGACTTAAAATATTTACTGATAAAGATCAAAGAGCACAGCCTTCAGTATGGATTGCATCTCAATGTAAAGAAAACAAAAATCCTCACCACTAGACCAACAAACAACATTCTAATCAGTGGAGAAAAGATTGAAGTTGTCAAGAACTTCATTCTTCTTGGATCAACTATCAACACTCATGGAAGCAGCAGTCAAGAGCTCAAACGACATGTTGCATTAGGCAAATCTGCTGCACAAGACCTTTTTAAAGTGTTGAAGAGCAAAGATGTCAACTTGAGAACTAAGGTGCGCCTGACCCAAGCCATGGTATTTTCAATAACTTCATATGCATGCGAAAGTTGGACAGGAAATAAGGAAGACCATAGAAGAATTGATGCTTTTGAGTTATGGTGTTAGAGGAAAATATTGAAGTGCCATGGGCTGACAAAAGTACCAACAGATCTGTGTTGGAAGAAGTGCAGCCAGAGTGCTCCTTGGAGGCCAGGATGGCCAAACTTCATCTCTCATACTTCGGACATATTGTCAGGAGGGCCAGTCTCTGGAGAAGGACGTCATGTTTGGTAAGGTGGAGGATCAGAGAAAAAGAAGACTCCCAGCGAGATGGATTGGCAAAGTGACAGCATCAATGGGCTCAAGCGTGGCAACAATTGTGAGGTTGGCCCAGGACCAGGCAGTGTTTTGTTCTGTTGTACACAGGGCTGCTATGAGTCTGTACCGACTCGATGGCACCTAACCACAACAACATAGACAGAATTGTAAGATAGATCTTGAAATATTTTTTTTGATGATGAATGCGATGCCATCCCTCTTCTATTTGTCATTCCCGACATAGTAAACCGTGTGATCATCAGATTCAAAATGACCAACACCATTTCAGCTAATTAATGCTTAGGATATCAATGATTATGTGTTCTATTTCATTTTTGACAACTTCCAATTTTTCTAGATTCATACTTTGTACTTTACATGCTCTGATTATTAATGGATGTTTACAGTTGTTTCTCCTCATTTTGAGTTGTGTCCCATCAGCAAATGAAGGTCCCAAAAGTTTTACTCCATTCGTGTCATCATGGTCAATTCTACTGAGGAGACAGCTATTCCCCAGTCATATTTTGAGTGCCTTTCAACCTGAGGGGCTCATCTTCTGCCAGTTATAATACTGGCAATATTCTGGTGCTCTTTATCATGTTTCAATATTCAATATTCTGGTGCCATCTAACAATGTTCCACTGCTATCCCTAAGATTACCAGTGACTAAATATTCTCTCCTTCTTCTTAGCCTGTCTTAGTCTTGATGCTCAGCTGAAACCTGTCCACCATGAGTGACCCCATGGGTATTTGATGTACTAGTAGCACGGCTTCCAGAATCACAGCAACATGCAAGTCACCGCATTATAACAAACTGCAGACGAGTGATGCAATCCTTGGAGCACAGCTCCTCAAAATTCCACACTCAAATACTTCCAAGTATTGTCTCAGTATTCTAGAGAATGGGGATAGAGCTCTCAAAATTTTTAGAAAGGTTTACATTTTACTTTTAACTGTCATGGAACATTTGTACCTTTTCCATAGTAAAATTTAATATTAAAATGTTTATAATGATTTATAATTTCAAATTCTAATTTCCCCTAGAAAATCTTCAAGTAAAATTGGTTGTACATGAAGATGCCCTATGTAGCTTTGTCTATGCCACCCTGCATGCATAGGCTCTCAGATAGTCAGGGAACCCCAGTTTGAGAAGTACCACTGTAGAAGGGTCGATGTTTTATTTTAAGAGAAAAAGCTAATTCTGGGAGGTGGGCAGGGGAGATGATGAGGAAGGTGAAAGGTAGAGAAGAGACGCCAGTCTTCAAGTGTGATGGGCCCCAGGGCTTTAAGGCATAACAGAGTCACATCGCGGGCTGCCAGGAATCCTCTTGACCCTGGGTGAATCTACTTCTCAGGCTCCCACCTGCAAAAGGAGAGGAGGAACCCCAATAGTTGAGCTGGGGGTCCAGTGACATGAAGCCTCCTTTGAGAACGGATTAGTTCTCCCTAGTATCCCTGTGTGAAGTCTTGGTGTGACGCTGTAGAATAAGCCCTAGACTGCTAGGTCGGTGGTTTAAGCTCACCAGCAACTCCTCAGAAACCCTGTACAGGGTCACTGTGAATCAAAACTGACTTGATGGCACTGAACAACAACAACAACAAAGTCCCTGGGGGGTTTTAAATCATAATAAATGAGGGAACATGTGGGTGAGAAATAATATGTAAGCATGTCCACTCCTCATTTATCTGTATAGTTAGGTTCAAAGACCAGGTTATTACGGAAAAAGAGATGTTACGTGAAAATGGGAGATGAACACATAAAACAATGGAAGAGGATTGATTACATCATTATAAAACTGCCAAACCAATAAGATTTCTGGCCCAGCCAAGTTGACACAGAACCTTAACTACCACAGCCAACATTACACTCACCTAGCACCTCAGTGTTCATTACTGTCAGATGTATATCATTAATGTGCAAAATAGTAGGTTTTTTTCTATTGTTGTAAATGCAAGATGTCGGATAATGAGATGGTTGGTAAGTGAGGAATAGGTGTACTTTTAAAAACCAAGTTCTTGAGGGTAAAGTCCTCCCATATACACTCCATACACATTTTCCTATTTCAGATCCTGGGGCAGAGGACAGAGGTAAACAGTCTTCAGGCCAGCAGAGCTGAAGAGCTTCAGCTGCAAGAAGAAAGTTTCATCTGTCCTGAAATGCCATTTCTAGATGGCTCCATGGTCCCAAGAAAAAGATTTGCAGAATGAATGACCCCATCTTCTCCTTTAACAGATAAGACCACTGAGGCCTTGGGGAGGCAAAGGGCCTGGCCATAGTCTCCCTGCATGTCAGGGGTAGGATGGGGACCAGAATGAGAACCCAAGACTCCTGTCTCTCCCACCTGGTCTCAGCAGTGTCAGTGAGGTCTTGCTACAGGCGTTTAAGAAGCCACTCACCCAAATCCTACATCACTATGTTTACAGGGAAATGGTCAAGACCAACACAAGGACTGTCCTGTATAAATGCAAAGCAAATGACAGACATTTACAGGTTCTAAGGGATACTTCAGGAAAGAGGGCTGCTGTGGGGGAAAAGAGTTGGCTAAAATGGGTAGTTGATCAAAGGACCAAGGGGGCCTACTCACGGTCAGGCAGGGTGGAGCGCTCTACCACAGAGCCAAAAGGCCCATCCGTGTCCACTCCATGGGACTGTATTGCAAACTCGTATTTGGTGAATGGCTTCAGCCCGCCAATGAGAATATCTTCACCAGAGCTGTGGAGGCAAGAAATAGTGGAGTGCATTCAGACCCACTGAAGCAGCAGAGTAAGAACTTCCAAATCTACTGCCCTGGGCTCAGTGCCAGCTTGAGGCCCAATCCTGAAAAGTGAAGTTGCTCTCCTGTATGGGGGGGCCACTGATAACCACCCAGAAGACCTTCAGTTATTCTGGATATATGTGTCCCCAATCACAAAGTCAGGCCGTCCCTGTTTTTAATCCAAGTTATTTCCAACCAAAGGAACTTTCTCTGATGCATCCTGCCCTTACTTTGACCTTGCTTTGACTGTAATGATATATTTCTATTGCTTTCCTTAAGGAACGCTGGTGGTGTTGCAGGACAAACACTGGAGTGAAAACCACAAGGTTAGCAGTTTAAACCGACCAGCCTCTCTGTGGGAGAAAGACAAGGCTCCCATCAAGATTTATAGCCTTGGAACCCTCTACAGGATTGTTCTGAGCCAGGATTGACTTGATGGTACTTCACAACAACATTGCTTTTTATGCAATCAGTTTCCTCTGCCAAACAGCAGCTGCCCAAGGGCCAGAGCTCTGTTTCCATCTGACAGGGGGCTCTCACAGGGCAGGGTTGGGTTGTCTCATCCATATCACACTGGGAGCTCCCTGAGGTGGGAGAAATAGGTCTGTCTTGTATCCCATTTTCCAAGGGTTGAGTTATCAGACTCTGTTGTGAGAGGATGGGATAGGTGGACTCTCCTTGTCCACTGTTACCATCAGGAAGTGGTCCCCATGCAGACCTTCAAGGTGGCTCTAGTGTCACTTGTTACACCCTGTCCCTACCTCTGTCCTTCCTCCTCCCCCTTTATCACCTCAGTCCTTTCCCCCACCTGGTGTAATAGGTGACGAGGGAGGCATTCCTGAGTCCCCAGGGGCTGAAGCGCACTGTGTAGTTGACAATCTTGACTGTAGTGAAGTCTGGCTTTTTCCATCGAAGCCAAATGGACGTGGAGCTGTTAGATTCTGCGTGGACATGGGCAGGTGGCAAGGGCGGCCCCCTCTGTATGGGCAGGTCTGCAAGGGGAACAGTAAAGTGTGGGGAAAGGAGGGAGGACACCCATCTATAAATATGTATAATGCTTTACAGTTCCCAAGGCACTTTTCCTTACTCTGTCTCTTTTGACCCTGTGCGTTGGAAGCCATCATTCCCATGTCACAGATGAAGAAACTGAGGTTCCCAAATACGTGATTTTTGCCAAAGGTCATACAAATAGTAGACCATGGAACACTAGTATATAAGAATGTGATAGAAAGAAGTAGCAAATCATGACAGTTAAGAGCACCAACTCTAGAGCCAGAATGCCTTGGTTCAAATTCCAGCTCTGCCACTTACTAGCTGTGTGACCCTGAAGAAGTTACTTAACCTCTCTGCGTCCCCATCCCTATTCTGTAAAGTGGGGCTGATAATAGTACCTACCTCATAGGGCTGTTATGAGGAATAAATTAGTTAGTATTTGTCAAGTAGACAGAAAAGTGTCTGGCATACAGAAAGTACTATATGATAAGTATTTATTATATACACATAAAATAAAATAAACTCTGTGAGAGCAGGTACCTTATTTGTGTTGTTCACCACTAAATTCCCAGAACAGAGCTGGCACGTAGTAGACACTCAGTAAATATTTGCTGAATGAATGAATGAACAAACTGGAATTAGAACCTAGGTTTCTTGGCTCCTGGTTAAAGGCTCCTTCCACTAAGCCACGTGGTTGAAAGTCAGCCTGGGGAGTTAGGGGTGAGGGACTGTCATGATGGTCAACCCAGCTGACCAGTACTGGCCAGGAGCCACGTATTGATTGCAGTGGGAAGACTTCTGCTTAGGAGCCAGTGTCGGCTCCATGTGGCCTTGGGTGAGTCCCTTTGCCTCTGTGAGCCCCAGAGGGACACTCTTCCAGTTATCATCCAGAGTTGAGTGATCATCTGATCGATAATGTGATATAGGTGAGTGTGGTTCAAAAATTGTTTTAAGGTCAAACTGGGGTCAGGAGTTACTGATCAACCATGGGGCGTTTGTCTGTCCAAACTTTCTGAATTAGCGCCTGCTCATGGGTAGGGAGCACACAGTGGCAGGCCTATAAGAGATGGTGCAAACTGGAGTTCCAGGTGGAGTTTCTAGCTGTGACAGAGATTGTCTGGAGTTACCAGAGAACTACCGACCCCAGCTGACTGGTTTTGAGGGTTGGGCTGAGGAAAGGGAAGAGGCAGCAGTCTGCCCCTGGGGCCCAGCCATCCTTACCTGGTGTGGGTGCCTTCTCTGTCTTGCCCTTCCACACTGCCGCATAGCCATCCTCATGTTTGTTGAATGCTACAAGCTTCACCTCATACAGTCGTCCAGGAACTGGGGAAGGTCATAGTGGTCACTCCCTAGCTAGAGGTCTGTCACTTCCCCAACCAGAGAGACTGCCTGCCCTTAGCTTGCCCCTTTATCTGCCTCGTCCCTTCCCCCACCCCCTAGCCCTCCTCACCTAGCTGGGTTAGCTCATACTGCTTCACTTTCTTCTTGAGCCGGACAGGACCCACGTCCCAAGCCTGGTCTCTGCGGCCTCCAGGGGCACTCTCGCCATTGGCCTCTTCCTCAGCCCCTACCTCCCGCCAGTACAGTTTGTAGCCAGAAATCTGGGCAGGATGAGGGGGCGCCTGCCAAGACACCACCAGGGACTCCATTCTTGCCCGCACCTTCAGCTCTGCAGGGGCAAAGGGGACTGAGGGCGGCCAGTGGGAGGCAGGAAAAGGATAAAGAGAATTGGGGGTGGGGGGTGGGGAATGAAGAGGAGGGGACAGGGTTGAGAGGGAGGGGGAGGAGACAGGAGGAGGCAAAAAGCAGGAAGACATTCATTCAGTTGAAAGCCTCTGCATTCTCCCAATTCATCCCCTGGCCACTGGTCAGTTCAAAGTGACCTCACTGTCATACAAGCAAGAGCGCTGGGATCTAGGGGTTTCCTGGGCATTGACAAAGAGTTCCTGTGGCAAACTGATAGTATCCAGCATAGAGGAGGGCTCCATATCAACAGAATGAATGGATGTCTGCATACTGGCCAGTAAGTGGGTTCTCTAAGGCTGAATGGAGCCAGAGTGTCAGCAGACACTGTTCTAAGCACTTTACCTATGTATTCTTATTTAATTCTCACAATTCTATAAAACAGCTAAAATACTATTAGCCTCATTTGACAGATAAGAAACTGAGGCTTGCTAAAGGCCACAGCTAGTCTGCGCACTAGGTTTTCTGTTCAGCTCAAATCTACGTTTGCTCATTCTATTGTATGGTCTCAATAAAAACAACAATCATAATAATTGCAGCAGCTACTACATAATG